CCGACTCGGAAGTAGTTTTGCCCATACAGACATCTGCCAGCAAGATATGATTTGAACCAATAAACCTTTTTTTTTGGACGAAAACTTATTGGCTGATATATTTTAGCGAGCAACGAATGGTCAACAAATGGAATCCCTTTTTAAAATCAACGATAGTTGCGCCATTAAGTTCGCCGCATTCAATTGCTAGCAGTCAATGGTCTATAAATTTCGTCATAGCAGTTTGTTTTAAGCCTGAATATGATTTATGATGGAGTTGATACATGTTAATATATCTGAAAAAATGTTTGCTGAAATGTATTTCAATAAAATAATTGGATATACGTATAGAACAGGCAGAGTTTGAGGTTGATAGCTCGATGAGTCATTCTTTTCATTTCGCTTATGGATTTACGAATACCATGGTTGACTTTCATTGATTATGGAAATTTACAGGAATTAATAGTGCACTTACTAACATCTTTCAGTCAGAGTCTGACAAATCAAAACTTTTCTAAATGTTTTGGAGTGAATTCCACATGGATGTAATATTTATTTTCCATCTGAGTGATAATGTCGATAACATCCGTTAGTGTAACTAGAGGGATGTTAAGACTTAGATGTTCCGGTACATTTCCAGTCACAAAGTCAGCAAGTTTATATCTGTTAGGCTCTGAAAATAGCATCATTTGAAGCCATTTAGTGTTAGTATCCGAGAAGAAATCAATTTTAAAGTCTCTCGTGTGAATTACTTAATTGTTAAAAGGTAAGACTAATTAATCCATATTGAGTGAGAGTTTGGAAGTCGGTAAGCAGAGTATATACAAATAGATATGCTATTGGGAAATTTAATTTGATTAATATTGATTCTAGATTGAATCTTTGGAAGTTATTTCCTCTCCCGTAGGCTACGCTGTTTGAAAAGTACCTCACTATAGATCATACCATACTTTGATGTCAATTTTATATTTTCATTGTAAAGCTGCTAATAGAAATATCAGTCAGTTCAGTATAATCAAAACACGGTTCACACAATCCAATTATTGCAAGACTGGATTAATTTTCTATCGCAAGTTTTACTTCATCGAATTTTAATAAGCATTGTCTTACATTGAGGTTCATAAGTTGCGTACTTTACTTTTTCAAGTAAAAAGGTTTACAGCATACATTTTTTCCAGTCTATGAAGAATCGACATCAGGTTTGTTTTTAGCCAACTAGAGGAAGAGATACTAAAATTTTGGCATGTACAGTAAGAATTAATCATTTGAACGGTACACTACTAAGAACAGATATGATCACTAGCAGACTAAGGGTAAATGGCGCCCGGTGCGACGATGATGGTCCAAAGATTTTTTGGGGCGCCAAAAGACCTTTGGTGTCCGTGGCCCTCTACCCCCACCCCCACGCGTTAGTACACTGCTGAATATCACCAAGAATATAATACATGTTTTGAACTCATGTACATGTATCATCACTCTACTCGAACTGGTGTAGTTAATGCTATAATAACTACAGGTATGAACATCATGTCTGATCAATTAAAATTGTATGGAAAGAAGAACGCTTATTTCGGATAGTAAGAAAACGGTGCTTCCAGTTTAACAAATTATAATCTTGATCCGTCTTAGGTTTTTTTTTTTTCTTTTTACAGTTTTTGGCATTATCTATCTATTTATTTATTAATCTCTATGTTTGTTTGTAATTTGTTTATTTGTAGTAAGTACATAAAGGTTCAGTAAAATGATTGATTGATTCTTACATTCATATTATAACTATCAAAGAAACTATATTTAACCCAATAGATTCACCTTTACTTTGGGTAATATTATATAAAATGTTTGAATATATGACGTATGTCCTATGAAATTTTGTTTTTATTCCAGGAATGTAGGATAGTGTAGGCTTTGTTCTGGTAAGTTTGCAAGCAATAAAAACTATACAATTGCCTGGTGACTGGTCAGCTGAACACATCAAACAGATGAAACGGTTAATTTCTTTAATAGATTTTTGGCCGATCGATAAATATTAACTACTTTGCGTGCTATACGCGTTTATTTCCAATACTCCAACATTATATATTAGGTCTTTATGTCAGGCATTCCGTATATTATATGCCCACAGACGCATCCATTAAATGGCTTTGTTTGTGCGGTGGGTGTGTGGAGGATTTATGGCCCGAAAGGGTCAGTGTTTGCTGAAAATTCAAGATTTGATGAATCTTCCGAGTGCTTGTCCATGGTAAGGGGTGGGGATAATTGGATTGATAATGAAGTAATTAAGGAATTCAAAAGTGCACCTTCATACTTATTTCATTATCCATTTTAGGGTAGTAAATATTACATTGAGTTACTCCTCTTGTTTGAACTGCTCGCGTAGTTTTCAGGGTGGTACGGTGTTTAAATATATTAAAGGTGACGGTACGGTGTTTGAAAATCCAGTCTCTCGACGCCATTTCATAAAGAATGAAGAGACCCTGCAGATTCTCTCTCTCTCTCTCTCTCTCTCTCTCTCTCTCTCTCTCTCTCTCTCTCTCTCTCTCTCTCTCTCTCTCTCTCTCTCTCTCTCTCTCTCGTAAGATATTTCCTCACATTAAAGTAATTGTGGATAAAACGTCGGAAAACAACTGACAGACGACCATCTACTGCTATATGGAGATTGAGATGTGATGTGATATGATCATGATTTTTAACGTAGCTTTAACAACTTTTCAGTCATATCGCTATTATGTCTGCAGTGTGGCAGTTTATAGTGATGTCTAGCATTGGGGCGTCATGCCACAGACATGGAGCATGATGTCCCACCCAGTCACATTATCCTACACCAGGCCGACCAGTCCTAACACTAACCTCTTAATGCTGAGCGTCAAGCGAGGCAGCTGTTAGTACGATTTTGTAAGTCTTTGGTATGACTCGACCGGAGATCGAACCCACGACCTACCGCATCCGAGGCGGGCGCTCTAACCACTAGGCCACCGGAGCGGTTGGAATGGGAGATGAGTTTCTTTACACTGGAGTTATTTTCCATTTCATTTGTTTCTTTTGTTGTCTCAAGGTTCAGACTCTAGTCGCTTTCCATATTCTTGACTGTATTTTAATCAAATCACGCTATCTTTATTGGTTTAACACCAGGTTTCTACAAAAGACATTTATAGACTGATTATGTAACACGTTAAGGGCAATAAGGTTTTATTTCAGAGCAAAATAAAGATATCAAATATTAGTGGATTAAATTGTGATATAGTTCTGATAGGTTGGAAATAGCATATAAAACAACAAACAAATGTGCACCCAAAAATCCATTGAATGACAAGAAAGCAAAAGCATAGAAAACACAATGTACAACAGTCAACAAGCATACAAAAACATATATGTGCGAAGGAAACATACAGTAAAACATACAATGTACAAAAAGCAAATACAATTATGCAAATAAAACATAGTGTAGAAAGTCTTCATGTGCTGCTCCATCAGTTAATTTAGTATTTGGTTTTTAACATTTTATTCGAAACTGAAAGCTTATTTGTTGGCAATGATTCTTAATCATGGGAAAATTTTCAGTATTTTTACTGAAGTTAGATGATGATGAACGTGACTTTCCAAATAAAGACATTTGCAAGGCGTAATCATATTACTAATTAGACCATTCAGATTTTAAAAACACTGTTGTAAATATAAACGCAAGTACATGCGGATACATTAATAAAATTGACCTAGTGATTAGAACGTCCTCCTCGGGTGCGGGAGGTAGTGGATTCAAACCCCGGCCGAGTCGTACCAAATACTTATAAAAATGGTACTAACAGCTGCCTCGCTTGGCGCTCTGCATTAAGAGGTTAGTGATAGGACTGGTCGGCCTGGTGTCAGGATAGTGTGACTGAGTGTTGTCAGGATAATGTGACAGGGTGGGATATCATGCTACATGTCTTCGGTATGATGCCCCTGTGCTAGACATCGCTATAAATTGCTACACTGCAGATATGGTAGCGATATGACTGAAAAATTGTTAAGCTACGTTAAAAGTATAAATTACACACACACGCACGCTCGCACACACATTATAAAGATTGGTTTTGGTACCCATAGAAGTACCACGATCGTCTTTATAAAGAGTTCTTGTTGTTGTAGGAAATGTGGTAGACATTTCATTTCAACGCGCAGGTGACATGTAGGGCGGCTGTGGCATGATGGTGATAAGAGGAAATAGCAATATGTCTTAAGTCCGGAGGAGAGACCAGTACACATATACCAAAAAAAAAAAAAAAACTTTTTACTGAATAATTACTTACAAAAGTGTTTTGTAATTTACATAATTATGAAGTTTGTTGTGGATTCAGTTTTGAAAGTATACGTGGAATATTTCTTACTGTAGAAAGAATACATGACCTGTATAAACTACCATATGTGTAAGTAAACAGGTAAATACATAATTAAATCAGTAAGTCGCTCATTGACTATCATGTATAGCACAGGCAACTAGTATCATGGCACATACAAACAACAATATATTGTTTAAGAACACTGGATAAACAAGTTAACAATTTGTTCGAAGTTAAACATTAATACAAAAAAAGAAGAGAATAAACTAATTAAACTAACAGGCAGTATGGAGACCTTTAGCTTTTCTTATGAGGTATTGAGCACATGTCTCCCGTAGATTTAGCACATATTTACCATTCTTTAAGTTATATACAATTTTTAATTTGCCTGTTTACATAGCGCGCATTTTATGATTTTACGTGACTTTACAGCGTTTTCTTCTGATTGATGGCACACTAATGTTTTGCTTTAAGATTGGCTTCATCATGACATTTGCCTTTTTCAACTATTTTTGCGATTTAACACGTTGCGTGCTTTAAGAGTGTTAAAGCATGGATTTATACAACTGTTAAAACATGGATTTATACAAACGTTAAAACATGGATTTATACAATATCCTGTTACTTTTAATGCATAGTCTAAATAAACTCGTTGTTTCACAAGTTAAATACGTTATTTAGAGTTTTCTGTATCTCAAGGAAGACGAATCCAGTGGCCTAGTTGTTAGAGAGTCCGCCTGAGATGCGGAAGGTCGCAAGTTCGAACCCCTGCCGAGTCATACCAAATACGTATAAAAATGGTGCTTTCTGCTGCCTCGCTTGGCGCTCAACATTAAAAGGTTAGTCTTAGGACTGGTCGGCCTGATGCTAGATATCTGCGGCATGATGCCCCAGTGTTAGACATCACTATCAACTGTCACACTGCAGACATGGCAGCGATATGACCGAAAAATTAAGCTACGTTCAAAATCCAAATCACACACACACACTCTTTTTATCATGGACGTCTGACGATTTACTTATTCTGAATCTTTGGTGTTGTAATTAAATTCCTTATTCCCTAGTGAAGCGGATGTCGGATTCAACTAACCTTTATATCCCGGTGCATACGGTCAATATTATATTTTCGACACCATTGCGTGCTTTAATTATCTACGAAGTCCTAGAATATCACTCATTAAAAGGTTTCTTATGTAATCTATTCTAATTCATGAATAGATTACATATGGAACAGATGAACGCTGGTTATGACAGGTGTTATGACATCCTTATACATACAGTAAACTGATTGTACTAACATCCAAAATGTCGTAGCATTGTAATGAAAACGATTTAGTACGTCAAGAGTTTATTTCTGGGCTTGGGGTGGGGCCGAAATTCAGTTCGTTGGTTGTTGGTTTAAACGGCATTTTTCTCACCCATGCGACAGAGTAATCTAGCTGTTTTTCTAACCCTTACTTTGCTTATCTCAGCCTAGTGATCTCAGACCAGTCGTCTCAGTCAAGGTGTCCATGAATTCGGAACTTTCTTTCTTTAAAAAAAAAAAAAACACACACAAAAAACTATTTGTTTTCTGCTGTGATTGACGTAGTTGTTCTAAACAACAAAAATATATAACGTAGTAACTTAAGGTCTATCCATCTTTCAGAACACATCATACAAAAACATTTCGAGATAGACAAAGACACGCACACGATGTCGAGCTGTTTGGTATTATGCTAGTTCGTTCCACACAGCATTGGTCTATATTATCCTATGTGCAGGCTTAGCTCAGTACATTTTCAGGTTGGAGTCATTAAATATAGCTAAAGCTACCTAACTAGTTTTAAACACTTCACGTGAAACAAATTATATACTCTTTGCTATATTTAATGACGCTGGCCTGAAAAATTGCCTGTGCTACAGTTAGGATAAAATTTTCAATGCTGTGTGAAATGAACTATGACAGAAAACACTGATCCATGTACATAGACTACTATAAGGCCTTTCACGGTTATGATCTTCTCTTGAAAACAGATGGCATCTTTTATTCTTTCCAGTAACTTTAGCTGTTCCCAGCTTTCAAATAAATGGTCTCTGCCCATTTCAAAACTGCAGTATCATTCAATTAATACCTTATGCTTTTTTTATTGCAATTTATCTCGCGTGAAGAATAATGTCAATATGTTTATTTTTTATTCAGCTTTGATTATTGGAGTTACCGGAGTTTGAACGACAACGAACAAAATCCAAACTTCCTAAGGTTATTTTATTATCGATTTGGATTGTTGCATATATATTATTGTTCATTATATTTTTGATGAAATAACTTTATTTATATCTAGGAAGGATATATTATTTTCAAAATGCACAAATATCATCCACGCTTGAACAGACTCGTACGAGTCTCCTTGATGATTATTTTAATTTTATTTCTTTGAACGGTTGGAAGTTTTAGAGTATACAATTTGTAGAAATATCGATATTTGACACACTATGTGTGTACGTATATGACATTTGTGGCTTTCACCTATCTACCTGTTTATCTATATGTCTGTATGTCTTATTTCATATGGTGCATGGACGGAATCTGTTAAATAACTGAATCTTTTAATTTACATATTTGATGCATGGAAAATCAAACAGAATTAAACTAAGTTTAAGAAGGCTATCCCAGATGAATTTGTTGGTGGCAATCAGAAATGGTGTCTAAAGACTCCAGCAAATTTGAGAATTATTACAATGTGTCAGCATAGGCAAAGAAAAATCATGCTGAAAGTTATTGCATGCACCGTCCGATGCTTGATGTTTCAAGTTTTGAGAAAACCAGCGAGTAATGTAAATAATTCAATATTAGGCTGAATGAATGCATGGCTATATTTGACTGGGCAAGGCAAGAAACAATACGTATATGAGAAAATACAGTTTTGATTGTTTAAAGATTGGAAAACCCTTCCCCCCACCATAAAGAAAATGAAACATAAAAACGTCATTGTGCATGTTAATCTGAATATTTTACGATATTTACACCCAAATATGAATAAATATTCCATATGCATTAATTAAACTCTTTAATCTTTATAATAACTAATGTAATTATTGCTTTGTTAAGTTCCTCTGAATACATTAATATAATGTGTTCCATTAAAAAAAAGCTTTTCTGGTCTAAAATATTTAGTATTACAGATCAGCTGTCGTATCGAACTAGCGTTATATTTTTTTTTTATCGAACTGGTGTTATAACTTTCTTAACTCGTGTTTTTATACGAAATATTAACCTTAAGAAAATAACTGTAAAAGAAGGATATATCAATGTACACAAAATGCAAATTGTTCAGATGGTTTTCGCGAAATTTATGCAGCCAAAAATGTTCAATAAATGTTAAAATTAGGAGAGTAAAATGAAATGTTCCTACAAATGTATCCGACATTATGGATTATGAATATATATATATATATATATATATATATATATATATATATATATATATATATATATATATATATATATATTATTTGGTATAATATAAATATGGAAAGTGTATTTAATTTAATTATTTGATATCATTTAAGAGTGGTAAGTATAGACACCGAATCTAATTATCTCATGTAATGTATATAATTATTCTCCTATTATGAACAAAAGATGCTAGACATCTATAATTTATTCATTGGTCTAACCATAATGATCTGTAGTACAGCTAAAACGGTGCGAAATTCTAATCTGGAACTGGAAATTCTTTGTGGACATGCGCATTGGAATTAACGGGATGTAATTTTAAGAGCTACGATCAGTAACTCCGTTGCAACTGTGAAGCCCTCTATAGACCTATACACTTCATAGCCTCCCAACTCTCTTAAGTACAGAAAACTTAGTTACTGCCAGAAATGTGTAATATCAGACATTCTTTATTCTAATTTTAGTACACATCTCCGTTGTACCCCATATGAATAAAAATATACCAACAACTTTTAGTGACAAATAATTCAATGCCATCCAGAGGGAATCATTTATCCGTCAATCTGTCAATCCAAGAAAGAAAAATAAATTTTTCAAAGAATCCGTGAACTTGAAAGGTTAGCACATGGCTATCCCATAAGGGTCCTTATTTCGAGGGTCTTTTATACACGGGGGTAATTTTACAACCAATATTAAGAACAACACAACTATTTCACAAGTATTTGACAAACAATTTAACATCCTCCAAAGAAAAGGAAAGTTACATACAATAATGACACAGATCTAATATAACCCATGAATAATCTAATGCAACACGTTATTCTTCCTTACGGTTTGTACTAAATATAACTGGCAATAGAACACAATTCATTTTACTTTATATTCTCTACATTTGTTTCTCAGTACTGAACTTTACACTGTGACAACCAATACAAGTCATATGTTAATCTAAAATACCTTCAAAGAAGACTTTACGGTGAAGTTCTCGTCAAGGGTTGACCTGCATTTTTGAGAGGCTGAATTGTAAACAAAACACCATGCAACGGAACACAGATTTTACTTCAAGATCATCACCATGGCCTTATTACTCAGTGTGCACTGTAGCCGAAATACATACAGACAACCACACATAAGCTCACATTCTAAAGAATAAACAATTGCCTTTAAATCCTTACCAAGAATGCTAAAATCTAACTCTTGTATTACCACCAAACGGAGACAGGAAAAATGGTCTAAAAATAGACTGGGACTACATTCGTGGGTATTGAACCGGAATACGACATTCTATGCTGTTATTTTTCTTTGCTGACACATATGAACTTTACTTCGGTTGACACGGTCATACCACAATCCTCATTAACATATTTGTAATAATGCACCGCATGTAAACATTTGCGCGTGAACTATATTGTACAATTGTGCAGTTCTTATTTACTTTAAAGGAAAATATTTGGTGAGAAAAATAATCTACACTAGAATTTAGACCGAGACAGAGAAATCCCATTTGCGGGGTTACATTATATGACTCCCTACGAGGAAAGCCTCGTGGAAGGGCAAATAATGTAACACCTTGACTGGAATTTTCTTGTCTCGGTCCAAACCCCAACATTGATTCTATACGGCCATATAACATAATTTTACTATATTTTCTCTACATTTGTTTCTCAGTACTGAACTTTTCACCGTGCGACAATCAATAAATATCATATGCTAATCATAAATACCTTTAAAGATGACTTAATGATGAAGTTATTGCCTAAAGTTCACCGGCATTATTTTGAATGGCTTGACTGTCAACAAACCAATGTGCAATGGAACACAGATTTCACTTCCGGATCATCACCAAGCCATTATTACTCACGTACACTGTCGCCGAAACAGACAGACAACCACACCATAAGCTAATTATATTCTAAAGAATAAACAATTGCCTTTAAATTCATACCTAGAATACCTAAATTTAACTCTTGTATCACTACCAAACGGAGACAGGAAAAACTATTTAAAAATTAACTGGGACTACATTCGTGTGTACTGAAATGGAAGTACACGTTTTTTTTCTCTATATTTATCCCAAAATGGGAATTAATTACACTTCTTTAGGACTCGCAGAGACACCGGACCCAGACGTGTATCGAACCTGTGATTTCTTGGTTTATTAATTCAACATTCTTCCAACTTATCATTCTCGGCTCCTTTCTCAATGCCAGAGTATATAAAACTTTCCCAATCTGAGTTTTAAAAAAACCCAATCAAAATTTTACACAAAATCCGGTGCAGTTTACATAGAAAAAAAACCAACTCGAGTAAGATTTAGATCGCTAAACAAAAATAGAATGC